CTTTCTTTCTTTCTTTCTTTCTTTCTTTCTTTCTTTCTTTCTTTCTTTCTTTCTTTCTTTCTTTCTTTCTTTCTCTCTCTCTCTCTCTCTCTCTTTCTTTCTCTCTCTCTCTTTCTTTCCTTTCATAAACATTTTTGAATACAGCATTTTGTCTAAGTTTACTGTTTACAAGAAAGAAAAACCATATCTAATACCATAAAATATATTTTCCCATTTACTAATAATAGTACTAATCAGAGGTGGTACTCAGCCAGTTCTGACAGGTTCTGGAGAACCGGTAGCAGAACTTTTGAGTAGTTCGGAGAACCGGCCAATCCCACCTCTGACTGGCCCCACCAACCCCATCTCTTCTCTGCCTCCCATTGAGCCCCAGCTGATCGGCTGGGTCTCCTTTGGTTGCCCTGCACAGGAGAACGGAGCTGGAAAGCAGGTTAGTGGGCTGGGGAGGGAAGGGGGATTTTACCATATCCTTCCTCTGTCATGCCTACCAAGCCCCGCCCACCAAGCCTCTCCATGCCTACCAAGCCACACCCACAGAACCATTAGTCAAAATTTATGAATCCCACCATTGCCAAGTGTACTGTTTACAAGAAACAAAAACCATAGCTAATGCTATAAAATATATTTTCCCATTTACTAATAATAGTACTAATGATACAAAAACACATAAAGTCATTTTTTCTTTATGTTTAACTCATTCATATTTTGAGTGCTTATAGCGATTATAGTTATACACCATCTCTGTTTTTAAATAAAAGCGTTCATCATTTTTCTTCCTCTAACTTCTACCCCTTGCTTCTAACCACTCATATAATCTATTCCATATCAAGTGGTAGTTGTTCCAGTTGTAGTTTTCTTAAAAGAATTTGGGATTTTAAACTTTTCATTTATGTTCATTTTGAGAAAACTCATCGAAGCCTTGCTTAAATGATGCTAATTGATACTACCTAGGCAGGGTCCCTCCCATTCTAACTTGCCATCAGAATGGTACCATCTGTGATGGGATAGAAAATTTACTTAATTTTGACCAAAATATGCATTTAGTGAAAGCTTTAAAAATAACAACAACTGGAAATACAACCAACTTTAATAATTGCTGCTAGTTTGATTTTATTGTCTGTTTTTCTAAGGACGTAAAACAATGGTGCAAAAAAACAACAACCCCTAACTAATTTATTGTTAAGGTTTATTATGGCCAAATACTGGATACGGAGATCCATCTTTATTGGGTTCAATGTTATTTAAAAATGTAGAAAGAGGATGTAGAAATGTATTTAAATATGTAGAAACAGAAAATTTATCCCAGCGGCAAAGAGCCTTGAAGAATCTTTTAACTAAACATAGCTTTATTAACATTTGGTTTGTATTTTAAATACTTCAGCCAAGTAATTATTAAAAGATTTCTTCCTTTAAATGTAACTGTACTTTTCTGTACTAAGAGTGATATGATAGCAGTCATCTGATATCTCAGGGGCTGCCACAAAGAAGAGAGGGCCGACGTCTTTTCCAAAGCACGTAAAGCGGGACAAGAAGCAATGGATGGAAATTAATCTTAGAAGATTAAAAAGCTCATGATATATTTAATCTTTTTCCTATATTTCCCTTTCATTATTCCCAACAAGAACAATTCTGGTTTAAACTCTAGGTTGCTCCTCTCCTTGATTAGTTTCCATCCGTTGTTTTTTGTCTTGCCTTTCAAGATGGTGGTCTTCAACTGAATAATTGAATTCGATTGAATATTATTCAATTATTATTCAATGGAATAATTCTTCTTCTTTGCAATCATTCAGTTGAGTTCAATTATCCAAGTCAAGGCAGTGTCCTGCTTCTACTGCAACCCCACCCCACAGAAGGGAACTAAGCGCCACAAACAAGCCACGACTTCACAACGCATCAGCCAGCAGTTGTTGCAGCAGCACAGTTGCTCAGAAAGGCAGAAATAACAAGCAGAGTAGGCAGCTCATTTTCTGGTATGACTAAATTCAGAATTATCTTGAACGGATATTTTTTAAGCTGCATCCCCTTCAGCTAATATCTGTTGATGATCCCATTCTCCATACATGCTTAGATTATTGAAAAAAATTAGGTTTCAATTTTGTCTCTCCCTTCTTCCCATCATGCTGTGCCCACAGGGTTCACATGTCAAACATTTGTGCAAATTTTTTCATTGTTCACAGGGCATTTCCAAGTGGGCAAGACAGCTGTGAACTCTTTCAGCAAGTTTTTATGGAGAAATACAGTTCTCTTTCTCTCTCTCTCTCTCCCTCCTCCCTCTCCCTCCCTCTCTTTCTCTTTCTCTCTCTGTGCCTCCCTCTCTTTCTCCCTCCCTCCCTTACCCTTCATTTCCCTCTCCCTCTTCCCTCCCTCCCTTTCTCTCTCTTTCTCTCTCCATCCTGCTCTCCCTCTCTTTCTCTCTCTTTCTCTCTCTTCCCTTCCCTCTTTCTCTCCCTCCCTCCCTCCTTTCTCCCTCTCCCCCTTCCCCTCCCTCCTCCCTCCTCCCTCTCCCTATCTCCCTCCCTTTCTCTCTTTCTCTCCCTCCTTCTCTCTCTCTCTTTCCCTCCCTCTTTCCCTCTCTCTTTCTCTCTCTTTCTCTCTCCCTCCCTCCTTCCCCCTCCCTCCCTTTCTCTCCCTCCCCCCCTCCCTTTCTCTCTCTCTCTCTCTCCCTCCCCCCGCTCTGTGCATGTGCATGTTTTATAAAAAAAGATATCGCAAGTAGTTTTGTGCCAATTAGCCTGATGGAAATTAGAGGTCAGAAATTAGGATGACTTTATGGAGTTAGATAAGACAAGCTTTATATGCGCTTGAAATATGTAAGAAAAATGCTCTTGGTTTTAAAGAGGTTAGCTCTGCTCTCCCATCTTTCTTTTTAAAAAGATCTAAATTGCTTCATGCTCATTCTCAATCCACATTCCTCCCCCCAACAGGGATAAAAAAAAACCATCAAAGATAAAATTAAAACCAGAGCTGTTTGTCAACTTCCCTCTTATGCTGTAGTCCTGTAGTAAGTTTTTAAAAGGATTTATAAAATCTTTTCTTTTTTTTCCTAAAGCAATGTTCTCTTTCCTGGTTTTTGAAAGGACATTTTCCAGAATTCCCAGAAAACATTCTTATAACTGTTTACATTTGCACTTTTTATGACATCTTTTAACTGCATCCCTACTTTAAAGAGAGGTTTAGGACAGAAGTCCAGAGAGGGGAGGTTACAAGGACAAAAGGAAATGAGGCAGGGATCAGGGCTGCAGAAACTCTGCCATAAATAACCTTTTCGACATTTGCATTTATAATGCAAATTTATAATGCAAATGTGATTAAAGCTTCGCCTCCTTTTAAATACAGGTAGTCCTCAACTGACAACAGTTCATTTAGTAACTGTTCAGAGTTACAACTGAGAAAAGTGACTTATGACTATTTTCCTTACTTACAACCCTTGTAGCATCCCCATGATGAGGTGAACAAAATTCAAATTCATACTTATGACCTTTGCTGTGTCCCAAAGTCATGCGGTCACTTTTTGTTCTGGTAACCACTTGCTCTTTCTCTTTCTCCCTAAATGTTCTGACCCAAACGCTTTTCCAATAAAACAAACACAAACCAAAGGGAACAGAAACCTTTTAAAGATTCTTACGAATCCCTGGTTAAAAGGCTGCTGCAAACTAATTAACTTTGATAAGTACGAGCTTCGCCAAAACTGTGCGAGACTGCCAAGAATCACAGATAAGAAATATTTCACAACACAAGAGTCTTCAAATACCAACTTAAGATACTGTAATGTCCACAAGGCTGAGTTTCAAAATGTCTTTGCTTCCTGCAAAGAACGTCCAATTCACAGCTGCCTTTTATCTTCTTGAAGGAGGGGCTGTTACCTTGCAGCCTTACTCCTGAGTTGCCCATGCTGCTGCAGCTGCTATTTCCTGTGAGCAATCCTGCATGCACGTGCACTTGGCACAGGCTCCTCGGGAACCTCCTCATTGCTGCTGCCAGCCCGTACAATCTCTGAAGGCAGCAGTCCACTCCTTAATGGTCCTGGCCCATCATCTGAGTCCTCGCTCTCCTCAGCCTTCTGCACCTGCTGCTGGCTAACCACAACACTTAAAGCCAGGAGAAAAAGATCAGACATGGAATTCTCCTCTCTGTCTATGGAGATTCTCAACAGGGGTGGGCTGCTGGGGGCTCACAGGAGCTCGGGAGAGCCCCTCACTAAGATTCTCTGCAGCTTGGAGAACCCCCAAATCCCACTCCTGGCTGGCCCCACCCCTCCCAGAAGTCCCCATCTGGCCTGTTTTGGATGCAGGTAAATGCAGGGTGTGCACGGAGGCTCGGGGAGGGTGAAAAATGGGCCTCCTGGAAGTTTGGGAAGACTGGAAATGGGCCTGTTTCCTGCTTCCAGAGAGCCTCCGGAGCCTGGGAAGGCTGTTTTCGTCCTTCCAGAGGCTCGAGGAAAGCCTCCGGAGCCCAGGGAGGGCAAAAATGCCCCACCCCCACTGTGGATGCAGGAGGCTGACTAGCAACTGGGCAGAGAACCCCTTGCTAAAAATTTTTTGAAATTTTTGGTTTCAAAACCTTTTGATTGCTAAATTTTTTGAAAAAAAATGCAGAGAAGAGCAACCAAGATGACAGCAATCGCAAGGGCGCTTAGACTTCTATACCGCTTCACAGTGCTTTTAAAAAGCCCTCTGAGCGGTTTACAGAATCAGCCTCTTGCCTCCCCAACAATTTGGGTCCTCATTTTACCCACCTCGGAAGGAGGGAAGGCTGAGTCAACCTG